ACTCTTTTTTGTTTCTGTTTGCTCTCCTCCTCCGCACTTCTGTCCGCTCTTCGCAAAGCTTTGCCTCTTCCTCTTTGTGCTTCGTTTTGTTTTGCTTTTCTTTTTGCTCTCCTAGTCTGGGGGCGACAGCTTCCAACCATGGCCCACAACAGCTGTGACTCGCGAAAGGTATCTAGCAAGATCTCTCCTGCAGCTGCAAGTTCCAGCAGTGTCTGACCCCCTTTCCGTTTCAGGTTGCTTCCAACCCGGCCCGCTCTACCTCCTCCATTCAGCTCTTCCGGCTTCATGCGCCTGCCGCTTAGCAAACTTGCTTTGCATAACATGTGAAGGATTAATGCGTTCCCCGAGCTGTTTCTTCACTCTTTCCTGACCTTGCCATCGGTCAAGCCTGGATCTTGAATGTACGCTTTTCCAGTCAAGCTTTAAACACCTGTTCGAAAGGTGTTCTTCTCATTAAGTTCTTCATCGACCATTATTTGATTTGAAGGCCTGCCTCGATTGCTAGATCTTGGGTTTTTGTCATCAAAGTGGTTTTTTGAAGGTGTTCTCCGAAGTACTTTAACCTCCAGCTTGTCCTCATCATGTTGTGTTGCGCTTTTCGATCAACATGCGCCTGCCGCTTGTTATTCAACCTGCGTGTCTTTCTCCCCAAAGCTGGCCTCGAAGAAGGCGTTGCTTGAGGCTTAAATTGGGATGTTGCGGCCACAAAACTGGGGCTAGCACGGTAGGGCTTTCACAGCCGCACTTTGGCCATGTTTGGGTGGCCGGCGGTTCCGCTCCCGCCCTGGCCGGCTCGGACTGGTTGAAACGCGTGTCAGTGGTGGGTCTTTTGTTCATCACCTGATCTTCCAACTACAATCCTGAGAAAGCCAACTACTCCAAAAGCTGGGTCTTGATGCCCCCATCCATGCGCTTTGTTTGAATTGTTCCCATCACGCTATTTCATGTTATTTCTCGGATCCTCGGGCCCTTCCCATCCCATCCCAACATTTCTCGGAATCGCAAGGGGGTTTTCTGACAGCGGGGCTTTCTCCAGATTGCTTAGCCTCAGCCTCTCTTTCTCCCAGAATTATTTTATTTGAACCGGTGTTGGTGGTGTACCTCCTCAGCGTTTGACTGTGAGATGCTCAGTTGAAGCATTGCCCGTTTACAAAGGACTAGTAGCGCTGGATATTGAAGCAGCTATGGGGCAATGAGCTCAAGACGTGAGGACGAGCAGTGAATGAAAGGTAGAACTGGTCCAACAGTGGCAGGCGCAGCCCGCGACAACCCCTTGCACATGTTGTGCTTCCGTCGGTGAGGTCCTACAACACGGTCCTGCTACGGTTGCCCTTGCCACCGAGACTAACCTTCGTTTTCAAAACTGCAACCGATGCGCAGACCCTTGTCCACCGATCACAAAGCAAACTGCCGCAGCTCCGTGCTTTGCGTTTTGGTGGTTGAGGCTCGAACTTTGCATAGGCTGCGGATGCGGGGGCCGCCTCCAGCTCTTCACTTCCACCCCCACTCATCCCCAGAGGCGCACAGTCAAACGCATTGCTAGGACCAGAAGTACTTGAAGCTTCAGCAGCTTTTCCTTGCGAGGCGCTGGGTGTGCTGATCGTTGGTTTCAGTTTTGTCCTCAGTATCCTTGTCATTTACCTGTTCTGCTGAAGTTCTGCTTTTCCAAAAAAGGACACCTAGGGTGCTGATGTGTGCTGCGTGCGCTGCATCTCATGTTAATATACGCAGGGGCTGAAACAGACGTGTCTTGCCATCGGGAGGCCCTCGCGCGGCCCCTATGCGTGCCGGGAACATGTCAGAAAAAACCAGGGTTCTTGCGGCATCTTGCGGCATCGACGCATTCACATTAAAGACCTCCTTGCAAAAAGAGAGAGAGAGAGAGAGAGAGCGCTTGGTATCCTATTGGTGTGTGCCAAGTCCAAGTCAAACGACCGTGTATGTAATAGAGGGTGTGAGTCTGGAGCGGGGCCCCTTTGGTGTGAGTACTTGTTAGTTTGCTTAGATTGCCATTTCAAAGTTTCTGATATTCAAGCGTTGAGTGGGGGAGAAGGCGATACCTACGAAGAGCACTTGTGTAAAGCAGGCTGGTGAACAGGCAGCGGCACTTCTGGCAAGCGGTGCCAGCTTTCGTTCCATCCTCTCTCAAGTTAGGATTGCGGAGCTCCTCCCATTTTCTTGGGATGAAAAGTGGAATGCCCCTAACCATCCCAACTGGTTGCCTGTACGGGAATCCTTGGGTTCAATCCCGCCATCTACCAATCGCTTCGACCAAATTGGGCGCCAGGTCCCTGGCAGCGGTGACTGGCGACCAGTGCCCCTACGGCCCTTGGCACTGCGCCGAGGCGGGTCTTTCATGAGAGTTTTCACAGGCTTCCCTGTACTTCCTAGTTGGGTTGCACCTTTTGAGCAAGTTTGAAGTAAGTTTCCTTTTTGCTGGGGTGATGTTTGAAAAACGAAGGCTGTGTAATTATGGAAAACCACTCGTTCAACTGCTTTC